CCCAGCACTTTGGGAGGCCAAGGTGGGTGGATTACCTGGGGTGGGGAGTTCGAGACCAACATGGAGAAACCCTGTCTCTACTAAAAATACAAAAATTAGCTGGGCGTGGTGGCATGCACTTGTAATCCCAGCTACTGAGGAGGCCAAGGCAGGAGAACTGCTTGAACCCGAGAGGCAGAGGTTGCAGTGAGCTGAGATCGCGCCACAGAACTCCAGCCTGAGTGAGAGAGAGACTTCATCTCAAAAAAAAAAAGTATTCAGTTATAAGATGAGTTACTTCTGGGGATCCAATGTTACACGATGGCGATTATGGTTAACACAAGCAGGTTTTAAATGTCCTTACCCGTTACCAGCTGAAGGTGTGAAGTCCTGGGTCCTTGGTGGTGTGAACAAAGCATGGGTCGTGATACACACACCTAGCAAAGCAGCAGAAGTTTATTAAGCACAGGATTACACTCGGAGAGGGGAGAGCAGGCGGACCCCTGCAAAATGAGATCGGCGTCAGTTTGCTGTACTTCGGGTCTTTTTTTTCCTAATTAGGGATATACAACCATTTATTGACCACTGTTCACCAGTATTTACAATAAAGTAAACCATATACAGTTGAATAACACTCGGATTACCACAAAGTTGTGTTTCCTGGCTTTTGCTGAACCAGTAAAGCAAATACTGAAAAGATTGAGCCTACACTTTTTTTTTTTTTTGAGATGGAGTCTTGCTTTGTCACCAGGCTGAAGTGCAGTGGCGCGATCTCAGCTCACCGCGACCTCCACCTCCCAGGTTCAAGCGATTCTCCTGCCTCAGCCTTCTGAGTAGCTGGGATGACAGGTGTCTACATGTAAGGAATGAGTTGGGGTAAAGAAAAAATATGCAAGTCAGCAGTTTGTCTTTTTGTTTATCTATTTATTTAGAGATGGAGTCTCGCTCTGTTACCAGGCTGGAGTGCAGTGGCGTGATCTCGGCTCACCGCAACCTCCACCTCCCAGGTTCAAGCGATTCTTCTGCCTCAGCCTCCCGAGTAGCTGAGATTACGGGTGCGAGACACTGCGCCCGGCTAATATGTTGTATTTTTAGTAGAGACGGGGTTTCATCATGTTGCCAGGTTGATATTTAACGGAAAAATCAGATTTAGAGAATAAATTTGACTGGCATGAGGCACCAGAATAACGGGAGGGTGTGGGGCCCATGTGGTGAGTATGTAAATGGATTGATAAGTAGAAGTTCTCAGGGAGGAAAGCGATGGTGGTGTCCAGACAGCATTTAAAGGCCCCTAGTGAGAAGTCTCAAGTGGCAGGCTGTGCCACAGCCCCCGTATATACATTCCTTCATTTGATATATATTTCCTGAGAACCCCTTTAGAGTTGCCGGAGCTGTGAACGCAGCCACTAAATCTGACATAGATCAGTTCACACGAGTTCACGGTGGAGACAGGAAAATGGACATGCATGCTGAATCAGGGTTCAAGTGCTGTTACAAGGAATTAGCAGGTGCTTTGGGATGAGAAAAGTGTCTTGGCCAGGCATGGTGGCTCACACCTGTAATCCCAGCACTTTGGGAGGCCAAGGCAGGGCGATCACCTGAGCTCAGGAGTTCAAGACCACCTAGGGCAACATGATGAAACCCCATCTCTTCTAAAAACACACAAAAAATTAACTGGGTGTGGTGGCGTGTGCCTCTAGTCCCAGCTACTTGGGAGGCTGAGCAAAGAGAATCGCTTGAGCCCCAGAGGCGAAGTTTGCAGTGAGCTAAGATTGAACCACTGCACTCCAGCTTGGGCTACACAGTGAGACTCCGTCTCAAAAAAAACAAAAAAAAAAGTGCTGTCTGTGTGTGAAGTCAGAGTTATGGAAACTCTCTTGGAGGAAATGGTATCTACGCAGAGCCCTGAAGAACAAGGCAAGGTATGGATAAAGAAGAGAGAACGGTGGCCAGGCGTGGTGGCTCACACCTGTAATTCCAGCACTTTGGGAGGCCGAGGCTGGTGGATCACCTGAAGTCAGGAGTTCGAGACCAGCCTGGCCAACATGACGAAACCCCATTTCTACTAAAAATACAAAAATTAACCAGGCATGGTGGTGCATGCCTGTAGTCCCAGCTATTCAGGAGGCTGAGGCAGGAGAATCGCTTGAACCCTGGAGGTGGAGGTGGCAGTGAGCTGAGATCGCGCCATTGCACTCCATCCTGGGCAACAACAGTGAACCTCCGTCCCAACAAAACAAAAACAAAAACAAAAAAAAAAGAAGATGGAATTCTGTGGTGCTTTGGGGTAGGAGGAATTGGGGCGTGGTTGGGATGCAGCCAGGACTCATTATTATTTTTTCTTTTCTTTTTTTTGAGACAGTCTTGCTCTATCACCCAGGATGGAGTGCAGTGGTGTGATCTCGGCTCACTGCAGCGTCTGCTTTCTGGGTTCAAGTGATTCTCCTGCCTCAGCCTCCTGAGTAGCTGGGATCACAGATGTGTCCCACATCATGCCTGGCTAATTTTTGTATTTGTATTTTTATTTATTTTTGGAGACAGAGTCTTGCTCTATCACCCAGGCTGGAGTGCAGTGGTGCAATCTTGGCTCACTGCAGCCTCTGCCTCGCGGGTTCAAGCTATTCTTCTGCCTCAGCCTCCCAAGTAGCTGGGATTACAGGCACACACCACCATACCTGGCTAATTTTTGTATTTTTAGTAGAGATAAGGGTTCATCGTGTTGGCCAGGCTGGTCTCGAACTCCTGACCTCAGGTGATCTACCCACCTCAGTCTCCCAAAGTGTTGGGATTATGGGCATGAGCCACCGCCCCTGGCAGGATTCACTTATAAAGCTGCTTCTCTGTGACTGGCTGTTGCCACAATGCCTCCTGAACCATTCTATATAGACCTATTCTATATTGGTCATTAACTATTTTGAATGGCTTCCTGCAGAGAAAGGAAAGAAAGACCAAAGTAGAAAAAAAAAATATTTCCATGGCCATCCTGTTAAAGAAGAGATCTTTTCAGAAAAGACCAGAGTGCTTAAAAGTATGGTTTGCAGTAAGTGGCACAAAAATACTTAGAGCCTAGAAGAGACCATAGGATTTGTCCACAAAAGAAATTCAGCGGCCGGGCGCGGCAGCTCATGCCTGTAATCCTAGCCCTTTGGGAGGCCGAGGCGGGGGGATCTCTTGAGATCAGGAGTTCAAGACCAACCTGACCAACAGGGAGAAACCCTGTCTTTACTAAAAATACAAAATTAGCCAGGCATGGTGGCGCATGCCTGTAATCCCAGCTACTCAGGAGGCTGAGGCAGGAGAATCGCTTGAGCCCAAGGGATGGAGAGGTAGAGGTTGCAGTGAGCCAAAATCATGCCATTGCACTCCAGCCTGGGCAACAAGAGCAAAACTCTGTCTCAAAAAAAAAAACAAAAAAACCAGAAAGAAATTTAGCATGTAGTTCTCCCACCCTCTGCGTCGTCCGGGATGCTCTGACAAATGGAATGCCAGCGTCCCCTGTTCCCTGCAGTGACTCCCTCCTCCGTGGGTCTGACACAGAGCTCACGCCACCCAGGCTCAACACCAGCTTTCAGTTCCACCCATGGCCACTGCGTCTTATGGTCATTCTTCAAAGAGTCTTTGTGTTTGTTCAACCTTCTCCTGCCTTCCCAGGTGGAAGCTCTGCTGGCTTGCTCTCTAGTCCTCTTCCTGCTGAGCCAATCTTCAACCAGGAGACACACTAGAGCCACCAGGACCAGGAAGGCCAGGCCCATCCGAAGGAGATTCTGAGCAGTGTGGTCCCAGAGGGCAAGGTCTGTGGGCAGCAGGAGAACAGGGTGATCGCTGACAGGGATGTAAGGACACCCTCTTTTTTTTTTTTTTGTACACAGAGCCTCAGTCTTGTTGCCCAGGCTGGAGTACAGTGGCGCGATCTCGGCTCACTGCAACCTCCACTTCCCGGGTTCAAGCGATTCTCCTGCCTCAGCCACCCAAGTAGCTGGGACTACAGGCACGCACCACCATGCCCGGATAATTTTTTTCTATTTTTAGTAGAGATGGGGTTTCGCCATATCGGCCAGACCAGTCTCAAACTCCTGACCTCAGATGATCTGCCCGCCTTGGCCTCCCAAAGGGCTGGGATTACAGGCGTGAGCCACTGCGCCTGGCCAAGGACGCCCTCTTGTTCCGTTCATCCCGATCTCCTTCCCAGGTCATTACTCTATGCCCAGCTCCTTCCTTCAGAGCCTATGGCCCCAGGTGTCTACTTACCTTTCTGGAGTCCCGTCTCTGTGGTTAAAAGGCAGGTGTCCCAAGAGTCTGCTGATAATAAGGGAAGTGAAGAAAAGAGAATGATGTTGACGTCTTCTGCCCCTGCCCTCCTTCCCTTGGGTCCACCCCATGACGTTCTGCAGCTTTGCAAGGTCCTACCCTACCCTGCAGGTCCCGGGAGCTTCATCCAGCAGGTAAGGCGGAAGGGTCCACAGATGGACAAACCTGAGGAGGAATTCCAGTCTAGAACTCATGAGCATGTATCTTTGCACAAATCATGTCTTCTATTTTTGTTTGTTTGTTTTTTTTTTGAGATAGAGTCTCGCTCTGTTCCAGCCTCCCGAGTAGCTGGGACTACAGGCACACGCCACCACACCTGGCTAATTTTTTTCATATTTTTAGTAGAGACGGCGTTTTGCCAGCCAGGCTGGTCTCAAACTCCCAATCTCAGATGACCTGCCTGCTTTGGCCTCCCAAAGGGCTGGGATTACAGGCCTTCCAGGCTGGAGCGCAGTGGTGCGATTTCAGCTCACTGCAACCTCAGTCTCCCGAGTGAAGCGATCCTCTTGCCTCAGCCCTGAGTAGCTGTAATTACAGCGTGTGCCGCCACGCCCACCTAATGTTTGTATGTTTAGTAGAGACGGGGTTTCACTGTGTTAGCCAGGCTGGTCTCGATCTCCTGACCTCAAGTGATCCACTTGCCTCTGCCTTCCAAAGTGTTGGGATTACACGCGGGAACCACATGGCCCAGCCCCTGTCTTCTACGTAAGCCTCATTTTCCTCATTGAGTCATCATTACCTCTTTCCCCTCACATGTAGTCAAATTCAAAGTCTCACTGTTTTTTTTTCAATGTCCTAACCGTGCAGCCCCAGCCCCATCCCATCTCCACTGTCATTTTCCAAACATCATTTTCAACCCTCCTGGCCTCATAGTTATTATTTTATTACCCCAGTCACCGTCCTGCCCCAGGGCACAGGCAGAGGCCATTTCCTCTCTCTGGAGCCTCTTTTCTCCTGAGAGCCACGTGACTAACTCAAGTCTGAACGCATTTGTTCAGATGCCTTCTTCTCTGTGAGGTCCATCTGGACAACCCTATTTAATACTGCTACCTGCCATTTCAATCCCTGTAAGTCTGTTCTACTTCGTCTTTTCCTTCCATAGCATCATTTCCTCCTATGTGCTATCCTGACATTGATCCATGGTCTGTCTCCTTCTGCTAGAATCTAAGTGCCACAAAGTCAAGATATTTGCCTGGCTGACTGTTACAGTGTAGTTCACCGTATATACTACGCACTATATATATATATATAATTTTATATATCATATACACTGTATTATATATGATATATATAATATACATATATGT